TTAAATAAGTCATTGCCGTAATGAATTTTTGTCCCATTTTCGTCATACAAACAACTTTAATTTGCCCAGGAAATTTTTACAATCACATGACATCACCCAATAAAATGCTCTGAAACTATAGAATTTGATCTGTGTTTGATTGTTTCAGAATAAAACGTGTTATAAATGTTGCGTTTATAATCGCACTCTTTTTTGCATCTCCGGTTTAAAAGTTGATGAACTTTATTCCACACATTTTTCTGTGATGTGTGCGATTTTTATTTTTAGCACATTCTATATATATCTACGAATGGTTACTAAGCAATAAATGCAGTAATGCTACACAAAATGGTGCGTCCGAAATTTCCATCTTCCCAAAGAAAACTTGAGAAAATTGTCGCTTTCAAATTCCTAAAGCTCGAAACTTTTTTTTAGTCAATTAAAAGTCGAACTATAACTTTTGTTGTACATTGTTTGTTCTATCGTTCTTACAAATTAGTATTTTTCTACACTCTTTGATACCACGACCTTAGTCTTTGTAAGTTAGATCATCTATACAGACGGTATCTGTGGTGGTGTTACAAACATGGACCACATGATTGAGTACAATATAACTTTAAAGGTAATATAACTCCAACTTTACTCATACTCAGAATAAAAAAAAAAGAGCAATCATTTTTCTTTATTTCCGCTCGTCGATATGGCACACAACCACAACCCGCCAACTCTACAGAACTCGACGGATAGTAATAACCCTCCTATTTACTCACCATCAGAATTTCCTATCACCCAAGTCGATGTTAACAGCTTTGCGACTAATCAACCTACCGACAAAACGCAGTACAGTACTCTGGTAGCTACCCAGGCCGACATTAAAAACATTGCGACTGATCAGCCTGTCGACAGAACGCAATACGTGATTGCCAACCAAAGCACTCCGATAGTATACGTTGATCCAAATGGTAATCCGACAATAAACAATCCCGTACTATATACGACGGTTGCTGGAAATGGTATTCCAGTAATTTCCGTAAATAACCCAATTGCTACCGGTGTGTCTCCTCCATCGTCACCACCAAGGACTAGATTTCGCATGACGACGGAAACCTATATTGTAATAGCTGCGTTAATATTTGCTCTGTTGGGCGTTATAATGTGGATAGCGTCGAAACCATCATACAACGGTTGTGCTGATAATTGTCTTAAAAAATACCCCCTCAATTATTTCACCGCTTCTCTTCATCGTATTCGTGACTATGGAAATTGTCTTGATAAATGCAAAAAGTCATATAATGCAATTAAATATACTGGCATCGCCTTTTTGATTGTTGGCGTAGTTACGTTCTTGGCCGATAAAATTTACGTATCACGACTGGTACCGCATCAACAGCAAAATCAACAGTCAATGCAGCAAATGCAGAT